ATTCAGCTTTCATATGCATCTTTTGGATTCATTCTATGTTTTATAGTTTTCGAGAAAATCAATGAAATGTGAAAACACTGCTTTTTCGACATATTTTTTACAATTTGAAGTGAATTACAGCCAAACGGATAAACCACAGTAATATATGAATACTTGCTAGATTCCCCAAACATTCAGCTTTCATATGCATCTTTTTGATTCATTCTATGTATTCAACTTTGTCTACGAATTACAAGAGTTACCACAGTAAATAGTAAATAAATATAACTAGAATTAAAATGTTTATTGAATAAAATATTTGTAACTCTACCACTAACACTATAAAGAAATGTCAGTAAAATCAGTGAATTAACAGTTAATCGCATCCGCGAAATGCGTGCTCCTGATGGTGCAGATCTTTCCCTTCAAGCATTTTTCGTCGCACGGTTCTGCTGCGGCGCTCTTCCTCACCTCGAACTGATAGTACATTCGCTGCAGCGTACTATTTCCTTCCATATTGTTCACCAATCCCCCGAGCTCGTCCAGCTTCATGGAGCTCAGTCCGTAGATTTCCTTGAAACTGTACAGTTTTTGCCAGTTGGGTTTCTTCTGCGACGCGAGATTCGCCTCAGCCATACTGTAATACCACTGATCGTAATCGGAGACTTCCTGCAAATACAACAGCGATACATTGTTGAACAAATTCATGTATGTTATATATGCGTACTTTCGTGTCTTGATCGATGTGGTAGAGCCTGTAGTTGGGATTGAAACCGACGAAGGTGGTGAGACTGCCGCCGTTGAAGGCGACGTTTACGACGCGCGATTTGTTCTTGGATGAATAGTGCAGACGGAACTCGTCGAGATGGGTGTGACCGTTGAATTGACCCCTTATGGTGTCCGCAAATCTGTCCACGATCTTGTTGTAAACCTCGTTCCAATTGGCCAAACAGAATTTGTCGCCGGGCGGGACGTGCGAGATGATGTGAACGGATTCTTTCTTTTTCTCCGCCTCGGCCAGAGTGTCGATCAGCCATTTCAGCTGCCCAAAGGGATCAACATCATCGTAGAACAACCAACTAACAACAACAACAACAAGAAACGTAAATGAAATTAATTGAATGATGATGAATTGAAGTGATTACAGATTATCGGTGTAGCAGACGTTGCTGTTGAGTGCGATCAAACGCAAACCCTCTTGGATGAGCAATGTGTAGTAACCGCCCTTCTTGATCGTCTTCATCGTTTCCTTCGGTAACCATTTGCTCCATTCGTCGGCGACGAAATCGAAAAGCCATTGCGAACTAATCGACTTGTCCTGCGAGTTTATCCAACTGCAAAAGAAACGTAAAAATAGTTACCTATATGTGGGTATCACGCGAAATATTCTTACAAATTGGTGGGATGCGCTTCGTGGTTACCGAGCACCGGGTACACGGTTTTATTGCCAAAAGTCTCACGCAGCATTCTGAAGATCTCCTTCATCGTTTTCTCGTTGCTGTCCATGGTCGTGTCCCAAGAACGATGCGCGATTATATCACCGGTGAAGTAAACGTAATCGGCGTCAGTCTGTAATAATAATTCATTAGTTTCGATCGTTTCTTTGATCGATGATGATGATGATTACGTACGTGAGTGGTGTTGATGTGCACGAGGGCATCCTCGACGGAACGTCTGGGAATGTCGCAAACTCTATAATCGCCCCAGAAACCAGCAGCATCCTCCGGTTTCTTCGGAGCACCGCTATCCTTCTGGCAGCACAGCAGCTTATCGCAACGCGCGTTACTTCCATTCTGATAGTTAGGATCGTAATGGAAGTCAGTCAGATGCAGTACTTTCATCGTGGCGTTGCTACCAGCAATCTCGACGACGTCGAGCAAATCGTCCGGGTTTGGCCTCGGTGGTAACGGCAGATTCCAGTCGACCCTTTTCGGATCGCTGCAGCCTAGATGCTGCAAATAGATGGAACACACCCTCTCCTCGGTCAAATTCTTTCTGTTGTCGATGATGCTCAGGATGACCGGCTGTATTAATTTAAAAAAAGAAAACATCAATCAATTATGTCGCTGCGAATTTTGTCGAACTTACGGTGACGATGTTCACGAAAGATTTGCAAATGTCTTTGTCCCAATTGTTGAAGAGGATGCACAGATTGGTGGCGTGTCGACCGAAATCGTCCTTCTGCAGCCCGTAGCGACGGATCTGTATCATCTCGCCGACGACGATGCGGCACGTCTTGCACACCTCGACGTTGCGCGACCGCACGTTCTCGATCTCCTGCAGCTTGACGATGTCGTCCTGCAGCTCAAGCGTCTTCCTGCCATTCTTCAGCAGCCTCCGAACGCCGACATCTATCGACTGCACCAATGCTGCAAAAGCAATTACATCATCCAACAATTGTGTAAATTAAAAAATATATATATTATCAATAAGTAAATAGATGAAAAGGTTCTCTTTAGGAAACAGGTAAAGCCAGATTTCTAAAAAAAAAAAGGTTCGACACAATAGAATCGCAGGTAGCGTGGGTTGATCTATTATAGTCTAAATCTAAGTTAGATTTTGTCTGCTATGACGGTGAAAACTTTGTTTTTTTTTTGCTTTGTAAACTATTAATAATCTAAAATCCAACAGTTGTTTACTCAATGTGAAATTCAATGTTATTCAGACAAACATATTCAATTTTCCCTCATTCAAGGTAGGAAAAATGCGAAACAATAAGTGGCATTCCTTTTATTTTTGCGCTTCGTACGTTACTAATTAACTAGATAACGTTCGACAATTATCATTATTTAGTAAGACTGCAATAGCAATAATAACTATTATTGCAGTATTCTTGTAATAATCAACAGAAATTAAACTTATTTATAATATAAGCATGTAATTATTGAAATGTTCTGTAATAATTGTGCAGAGATTATTTTAAGCATGTCGACGATAACATTGGAGATTCGATAACCTTCCTATGTACATTTATACTAAACACGTAATAAAGAGTAAAGAACTAAGACAAAAAAAATGTAATTTACATTTTCAAAACGCAAACGACGACAACAACAATGAAGATATCTTTTCCTGGATAAATTCGTTGGCGAGACAACTTTTCTAAATTTGTTGTAACCATAACAACAATAATAATAACAATTGTTTGCATCTCACCTTCATCACATCTAGCAACGGATGCGCAGCTCAGAGCGGCGATCACAGCAAGCTTGACCACCCAACACGACATAGCAACGTTAAACAGTTGAATGTTCGATGGATGCAATGTTGTTTCCAAAGCCGGCTCGAGTATATTCCCCCCACCATTGCCTGCTCACAGGATTCCGCATCAAGGAGAGAATTCTTGAATAGTCGGTGGATGGGTGAGTGGGAGTTGTACGGAACAAAAAAAAATGGAAATGGAAGTGGAAATAATGTAAAAACATTCAATTTAAAGTAAAAAAAAAACAAAATTTATTCAACGCATTCCTCCATGTCGACGTCATCGAGTACCAAATCCTCGAGCATCTCCTCGAGCGTGACGTGCGGGATGCTTGGATCGTGCAGAGGCAGATGCTGTTTGCGCGCATCCTTGAAGATGTTGACGTTCTGCCTCATAGCCGGATCCTCCTCCAGGTCGTCCAAGAACTCGTTGTAATCGTGCGCGTCCATCTCGAAGGCCGTCTGCTCCTCGGCCAAATGCTTCAGCTTCCACATGCGCTGCTTGCGGGCAGAAGCGCGCTCAGCGTAATGCTTCTTCACCAGTATAACGTCCGGCACTTGATCGCTAGACAATTTCTGAAGTTGACGTCGTTCACGTTGCTATCTTCCAAATTGTACCTACACCATAAAACATAAATTAACAAATAAAATAAAAGATTCTCTCTCTCTCGCTCACCCCAAGACCGAATCTCCCGGCTTCAGGAGATGTCCGATGTGGGTGCGCGTGTGAATCTGGTTATCGTTGATACCCAATTCGGAAGCTTTGATCAACCAGATGTCGCTCAAGACGTGTTTAGTGGAGATCGCCCCTTGTCCAGGGAAGAACTTCCTATCCTTATCCATGATCACCTCCACGTCCATCACGATGTACTCGACCAGCTGCTTCGGATTGCAGATGGTGTTAAACGGTTGCCTCCAGTACAGAGAGCTGCTCACCTCCGCAACTGAATTATACAAATAAATTAGAATAAATAAATTAATAAAATCATCAGCAACTTACTTTGCGCTGAGCACGGATCAATCAGATGGATGGAATTGGAGACCCTCTGCACGAGACACACAGACGATATTCCACCCAGCTGATTGGTCAACTTCTTCGGCAAAACGACCACGCTATCCTTGGATATTGGCACGATCTCCACCGAAAACGAGAACTTGTAATTGTAGTTGTTGCTGTGTATATCGTGGGAAATCAGTTTCTTAGAATGCTGGTATCTGCACGGCAAAACGGCAACCAGAAAATCGACCATCTTCCTGGCGTGCGATTCGGACACGTAAAAGAAATCCAAACCCTCTGCAAAAAAAAACAAACAAAAATATAAAAATTTCATTAATCGCATTAATTTTTCGCTTATAATATTTACCGTGAATGGGTTTAATTCCGAGCGTATTCTCGTGCGCTCTATGTTTCAATATCATCTGCTCCAAATAATAAAACGTTTTCTTATTCTCAGCCTTCTGCCTGACCTGCACGCTCGCCCTCCAATAGTTCTGCGCCTCAGATTTGTGGCAATCATCGCACATCTGATGATTGACTATGTACTCCACTATGAACACCTGCTGCAGCACTGCTCCCCCAACGACCTCCCCATGAACCGTCAATTTTACCTAAACAAAATTCGATATCGTAAACAATTTGATTGTTTTGTGTTAACAATCGTTTACCTTGAGACGTTTCGAATGGGGCTCTGTCCACACAAACGAAGCATCGATTAACTTCACCCTGTTCAAGCCTTTCAGTTTCTTCAAGCACAGAGCGAGCAATTCCCTGGACTCCAAGGCGCACTGCACCCATTCCGCCGGTGGCTGCAGATACCTTTCGCATCCTCTGCAAAAGTGCAGCGTCGCCTGCTTGGGAATGTCCTCTGTGATATCTACCTTCGCCCTGAGGCAACCGACGCACATGTTGGCCGGATTCGGCTCGATCGGAGTCCCGCATTCGCAGCACAATCTAAAAACAAAACAAAACCGTTGTTAAACTCACGTAAATTCCATTAAACTGAGAAGATCTTACATCCGATTGGACGGAAATTGAGCAACATCTTGAATATACTCCATGATACAATAAATGTATTAAATCAAATACAACAATAAAAAAAAATCAACTATAGTCAAGCAGCAACAAGCACATTGAAGCACATGCTTCGAATGTATTCTAACCCAACTTTTTTTTGACAACTGTCTTGTTGACAACTCGCTTCTTCTTCGGTTAATTGACCGCAGATGTCTCCACCATCGATATTTTCAAATTTAAATCTGAATTGAAGCAGCTTCTCCGAAAACGTACTACATAATTCGCAGATTATTAATTATCAGCGGATTTCTGTGATCGCGTAATTTAATTGAAGCAATTGCACGAAGATCACCTTTCGCGCGTTGTCATGGAGACAGATTAAACTCTTTTTGGTAACTCGAATAAACAAAGTCCTAACCTATCAATCGATTCAATCAATCGTTCGAGATGGATGATCGTTGGTTTGAGTGTGTTAAAAGCGCTGAGAAATCGGCTTTGGTGCAGGGAAACACGAAGAAAGTCCACTACCACTTCGAGAATGGCAGGGAGATGGTGGAGGAGTACAACCTGGATACGAATGTGCTCAGCCGCAGAGCCTGGAAGATCAACAATGAGATGGGTGGTGAGGGGGATTGGGACATCGAGGTTGGGGATCCAATGCCTGCTGGATTGAAGGCATCCAATGATTTGATCTCAGAAGATGCGAATTCCGTGAGTCCGGAACTGTTTTAATGAATTCAATTGAAATGTTATTATTTATTTAAAGCCTTTCATTACAAGGAGAGTGACCAAGAGGAATCTGGAGTGGAGGATAAGGAATCTGCCGTATCCTGTAGATATTTATTCGGTGACTGCTGATGAGGAGGGAAGGTGCATCACAGTGAGAACTTCCAATAAGAAATACTTTAAGAAGATTGATGTGCCTGAGCTGAGGAGGTGCAAGTTGCTGCCTGAGCAGGATAAGATCACATTCAATCATAAATTCAATACGCTGATTATAACTGTAAGGTGTTTTTATTACTCGATTTATTTGTTATTGTTAAATGTTGACTGACTTTGCAGTATGCTAAACCGACGGAGTTGGTGGAAATGGAGAAGGCTATATACGAGATGGTGAAGGAGGTGCAGCCGCAGAGGATGGCTAGTGGTTGTCCGGACGTGAACGAATGTAAGCCAAGTTAAAAATAAAATAGATTTATTTAAAATACTCTCGTATAGCGATAACAAAGTGCGTCTTCTTGTTAATTTGATTATTGAGCGACGGCCGCGTTTGCGGCAATGCTGGGGCTATTGATAACCTCTCCCAAACTGTCCAGCAATTCCTTCCTGTAATCGTCGAAGTCGCCTTCCAGCTCGTTTATAGTCTGATCCTCGATCACGTACAGTGTGCACTCGGTGTCCCTAATCAGTCGTTCGTCGTGAGAGACTATGATGACGCCACCTTGGTACTCGTTGATGGCCTCGGCGAGGGCGTCGATTGATTCGATATCCAGATTATTCGTAGGTTCATCCTGCAACAACAACAAAAAAACAGTTCAATTTGATTTTTTTTTTAAATACTTTTAGAGCAACTACTGCAACACTTACAAGAATAACAACGTCCGGTCCCATTAGACACAATTCAGCTAAAGCTACACGTGCCTTCTGTCCTCCAGACAGATCCTTCATCTTGATGGTGTGCGCGTGCGAGGAGAGCCCGAACGTTCCCAGCTGTTTCCTCGCCTTCTCGTAGGGCAAATCGAACAGTCGCATCAGGTATTCCGAGGGCGTCTCCTCCGCCGTCAAATGTTCTCCAGAGTGCTGATCGAAGCGTCCAATTCTCTGCACAAAAAAATCATGAATCATCATGAAACGCAATAATTTATATAAATATTTACCAATCGATAATTCTTCTTGACCTCTCCTTCTTGTGGTTGAATATCTCCGGTCAGCATCTTCAGGAAGGTGGATTTTCCCACTCCGTTCGGTCCGACTATGGCAATCCTGCTGTTCAGATCGATACCAAAGTCGGTGCCGACGAACAACGGTTTCTGTCCGTCGTACGCGAACGTCGCATCTGCAAATGACGTGAGTTTTTTGTATTATTTCACATCTCCACATGTTTCTTTTCGCAATTAACTTACTGTGCAGACCGAGGATGGGTGGCTGCAGCGGCGGCGGTTCCGGGAACGAGAACTTTACGATGTACTCTCTCGGTCGTTGCAGCAATTCGGTTATTGTCACCTCGTCTTCCTGCTTCTGCATCTTCGTTCTGTTCTTCTCCTGCTTCCTGGTCAGTGCCTCCTTCTGTTTCTTTTCCTGCAATTATTCAAATGAAACGAAAAGTTTATATGCAACAAATTAAAACGTTTTTCAATTACCGCTTGTTTCTTGGAAGATCCGTGCGCCTTCAGCTCTTTGATCCTCCTCTCCTGCTTCTCGTACTCCTTGATCATCTCCTTCCTCTTCTGCACGTACATCTTCTTAAACATCGAATAGTTGCCCTTGTAATAATAAAGTTTCTGTTGATCCAAATGGATGATTTCGTTGCACACGTTGTCCAAGAAAGACTGGTCGTGAGATACGATCAGCAAGGTTTTCTTCCAGGTTTGCAAATAACTGTAATATAAATTAATTAATATAAGTTAATAATAATAATAAATAATAACATACTTGTCCAGCCAAATGACAGCGTTCAAATCTAAATGATTGGTAGGTTCGTCGAGCAGCAACAGTGTGGGTTCGATGTAGAGCGCTCTGGCCAATGAAACTCTCATCCTCCAACCACCAGAAAAGTTCTTGGTTGCACGATCCTGCATCGATTTGGTGAATCCCAGACCGGCCAAGATCCTTCTCGCTCTCGGCTCAGCGGAATCGGCTCCTATGGCTTTGAGTTCCTCGTACACATCGTTCAGCCTCTCCTGGGCTTCCATGTCACCTTTCTGGAAGGCCTCCTCCAGTTTCTTGCACTCGTCCATCAGTTTGGTCCTCTTCACGTCTGCTTTGAGGACGGATTCGACTGCTGTGAAGTCGTCGGCAACGACCTCTTGTTCGCAATAAAGTATATCGATGTTCGGTGGTATGGCAAAGGCTCGCTGAGCCAGATGCCGCAGCAGAGTGGTTTTACCGTGTCCGTTGGGACCGACCAGACCGTAGTGTCTTCCGCTCGCTATCAGCAGATTGGCGTTCACGAAGAGGTCGTTTCCTTTCGCGGAGATCGTGAAGTTCTCCACCTTGATGTCGACGGCGTTCTCGAGGGCGGCCATCTGATTCACAGACTTCATTGTCTGTGAAACTGTAAAATTAGAGTCGAGATCGGAGTGACCCTGCCCACCCTTCTTCAGCATAGACTCCATCTGCCTTTCGTACTCTTGCTGCTTCTTCAGCTTTTTCTTTTCCTTGTGGGTCAGCTTCTTCTCCTCCGGTTTTACGACCTCCTCTACGATTTTCATCTCGGACACTTTATCGTTGAGCTCGTCGTCTAAATCGTCCTCTTCATCTGGATAAGTTTCCTCCACAGATTCATCCCTTACCGGAGCAGCGGGTTTACTCTTTTTACTACTGCTGCTCTTCTTCTTGACTGCCTTAACTTCGACTTCCTCCTCCTCCAACTTTTCCTCATCCTCAGATTCAGCCTTTACCACTACCGGTTTAGCTTTATTCTTTTTGCTGCTCTTCTTGACAGGCATTGGCTCTTCCTCCTCCGCTTCCAACTCATCCTCAGATTCAGCTTTCACCACTACCGGTTTAGCTTTATTCTTTTTGCTGCTCTTCTTGATAGGCTTTGGCTCTTCCTCCTCCAGCTCCAACTCAAAATCATTCTCATCTTCGGACCAATCATCCTTTTTGCCTTTTCCACCCTTTTTATTGCCACTTCCCTTCTTTTTGATTGAATCAGACTTGGATACCTCCTCCTCGGATAAATCTACATCAGACTCCACCACCACTTTCTTCTTATTGTTCTTGGCTGTAGAAATTGTTTATTAGAAAGTTGTAATCCATATGTTTCTGCTTCAACTTACCTTTTTTCTGGCTCTTCTTCACAGGAACAATTTCCTCATCGCTGAGCTCTGCCTGCTTCTGTTCAATCTTGCTCTCTTTATCGCTCCAATCATCGTCCTTGTTGTTCTTTTTTCCTTTGCCCTTTTTAGCAGGTTTCGCTGGTTTTGAGGTTACCTCGGCGTCGAGCATAGAAGTTGGTGCCTTCTGTGGCGGATCCTCCCAATCGTCATCCAAATTCTTGTTCTTCTTGTTACCCTTCTTCTTCGACATTTTCGTTTACTTCTATTAACTAAATTAATATAACTAATATCACACTTTTCACGTTGAAGAAGAGAAACGTGACTGAACAGCCGATGGAATTGAAATTGACTAAAATAATCTTGGATGCGTGTGCACCTTTCGATCTGTCAAAATTTTCGGACAAATAACCGATCCATCAAAATATTTCATTCAATTTAAAAATTATACAATAAATCATATAGAAAACGATTATTTTTTGCATTTCAATCTCTTAAAGCATTAATTTTTATCTAATTATTAAATTCATATCGAGCGCAAGTTTGGATTTCGAATTATGCAACTTTCTGATGTTTGTCACTTTCGAAGTCGAGTGTTCTTCTGGTTGCGTTTATTTGTTAGGTTAGGTTTTCGTATATCTTTTTGGCGATGTCGAATTTACTGAAGCCCTCCCAGCAAGTGCTGCAGCTGATTTCGAGGGGAATCGGAAGGAACAGAGGTAAAACCGTTTACAAATGGGAAGGCGAAGGCATCAAGTACGATGGTTTCACCTACTATCCGAGGCACGCCGACTTCCAGGACCCTCCTTACGAACCCACGAAACTGTTCAGGGTGCAGAGGATCAAGCCCTTGAAGGGCACTTCGTATTGGGAGAAGGATCATTTGAAGCAGCTGGGGCTTTTGGGAAAGGTAGTAACTGTTAAATGAAATGCAAACAGTCTTAATGTAATGATTATGCTCGCAGTGCAGTGAGGTGAATATCGTTAAGAATATACCAGAGAATCAGAGCAGGCTGTGGAAGGTGAAGCATCTGATCAAGATCACCCCAATCACGTTCCCGAATGGCTTCCCCGAGGACGTGAATGGGACTTTCCTAAAGGAGAACGGAGAGTTGGTCGTCAACAAGAAGCTGCTGAACTCTGAGGACAGATTGGTGGCAAGGGAGCAGTTTGATGAAGATCCTCAGAAATTGGATGGGGACACGCTGAGGCGAGACTCGAGGATAAAGTGGTTGAGCGGGTGGTAGAGATAGTCTGAATTTAAGTGTTTTAGTGTTATTAATAAATGTATAAATATATCATTATCATGATGGAAATGCAGTTTAGCTTTGGAAAAGGAGATTGTTGTTGTAGAACCAGAGACATTTCAAGAAATTCACGCTCATCTCGTCTACGATTTCGATGAGTCCCCTCCTGTAAACGTCGTCGTCGTCCTTCTCAGATTCGAGAAACTGCCGGACTTTGTCGAAATGCTTTCCGACCTCCTCGACCATACTCTCATCGAAACCGCTGAGCACCATCAGTCCCCTCCTGAAGAAGTAGTTGTGCTCGAAACTGTTGCACAGCAGATAGAAAACGTTGGCCAATAGGGTGCTTCTGATGGGGACGTTGATGAAGATCATGTCGAGGCCGAGATGGGAGAAAATCGTCTTCAGCAGTTTGCACTCAAAGTCCCATTGGTTGCTGCTGTAAGTGGACTCGTAATCTTTGTAGTCTACGATGACGAACTGATTCTTGAGCGCACGCCTCGCTAGATTGAATAGGCTGCGCGCATCTAGTGTTCTCACTTGCGGTTTGCTTTCGAGCAGATGTTGAGCCGTGTATTTCGAGTAGAATACAGTTTCGACGCGTTTTCCCACCACGAATTCGACGGGAATGTGGGCCTCCTTCATGTAGTAACATTTATAACTAGCTTTCTCGTCCAATTGATATGTTTTATTGAATCGATGTACAGATTTTGTGGGCACCAGCTTCTTGCTGTACTCGATCCGGCCCATCCGGTAGATCGACAAGAAGTGATTGGTTATATCCTCGTGCAGAGTTCGCAGTTTAACGTTCTCGTAGAAGGCGTTGTTGCTATTAGATAAGAAGTTCCACACGTTCTCGTTTATAGTGTGCATCTGTTTCCGCATGAAGAATTCGGCGCACTCGTCGATCTGTCGCAGGAATTCCCGATCGACGTCCTCCAATCTGAACATCGATTTCTTGCACACTGCAACGGTGTTCTTGTATGGTATGATCAGTCTCGGCCAGATGCTCTCCAGCAAACCGAATCCACCGTACCTTAAGCAGATCACGTACGTCTCTGAATTGCCGCTCTTCGAGGTGATCGGTTTGAAGATTCGCACAGCTTCGAAGCAGCACGTCAGCAAATACAGCAGACATATCGTGGATTCCTCGAACGTGGTGAAAATCTTGAGCATGAAGGAACCACCTGAAAACGATGATTATTACATGATATATGATACGATAATCGTACGCTGTGCCCACCTAATCTTAAAACTGTTAGAGCGGTCATCGTCTCGCAGTAATGCAAATGCTCGACGTGCCTCTCCTGATCACCGGGATCGTCCATACAGTTGATGCTACCGTCCGCCGTCACCAGATCCACCTTTCCATTCCTCAGCACCTTCTCCGTCAGATCTTCGTAGTTGTAATCTTTGGTGATGTCTCCGGTCAGATCCGCGCCGAACATCCATCTCTTCTTCGTGTGCACGATCAATCTGTCATCTGGGATCATCCTGTTCAATGGATTCCCCTCGTAACTCGGATTCAGCGTGCTGGCGTTCCACTCTAGCTGCAAAACGATATATTCAATTCGATTGAATCAAGCAAACAATTTTACGAAATTCTTATACCTTGATGTTTGGAAAACGCAAATGAAGGTAATGGTTCAATGCGGAAATGAATCCACCTGGTGCTTCACACAGGTGCAGGGACTTGAGCTCTGCACCAACTCCATCATCAGGTATTATGTCCGGATGTTTTGAGAGGCATTCGAAAAATTTGCACCAAGCCTAAAACATATCAATAACAGTTGGCTCGGCTGTCCCCATCCTCCTACATCAACCCCAAACCCCCCACCCACACCCAACTTTGGACTAATTACTTGTGTGAGTAATTCAGGCTGTATGTTGTTTCGGATGGCTTTGATGATGGCACTCGAGGGGTCCCTCTTTCTTGTGTGCAAGGACCAGGTGGATAGATCAAAGTTGTCCAACTTGGTCTTGACGGCATTCAGCAACAATTTCTTCTGTTGCATCTGCTGCAGTATCCATTTGTCTTCAACATATACTTTACTTGGAAGACTCCAACCGTTGTTCTTGAAGTCATAGAACTTGTTGAAGTAGGGCTTCACTGCACCATCGCCGCCACCTAGATCCATCCTTCTTTCTTTCTATTGTTTTGCAGCTAATGGGAATATGATGAAACGAAAAACAAATTAAAATTAATACATATAAATACAATGTTGCATGTGACGTTAACTTCATGGTGGTGATCTTGTTTGCGGTCAGTTGCTGCTGTGTTCTCTTCTCCATTTGGATTCGGATTCAATTGAATTGCGCATTGAAAACGGTGAGTGCTTTAAAACTGTTTTCAAGTTTCAATTGGGAATCGAGTCAATTGCTGCGTTTTTTAATTTTTTTCCAAATTCCGCTTCGAATATTTGCGTTCGCTTCGGCGGCGGCGGTCCTTTAATTATTTAAATGTTGTTGTTGTTGTTGTTTGGTGGGGTTGTTGTGGTGGGCCTGCTTTCGATGTGTTGGGAAGACTGTTCGTTTGGAGGTTAGGTTATGTCTGTCAAGGGATCTCTGGTGGTAGAAAAACACTTGTTACGAGGGTCCATAGCAGTGGTCGGGGAAATTAGAGAAAGAAGGAGAGAGAGTGTGCGAGTGCAGTGTTGATGATAGTGTCGATTTCGCTGGCAAATTGTTATGAGATGATTTGCGGCCACCGCGTATAGAGCAACCCAGAGATGTTCGTTGACCAATGAATTGTTGGACGAAATGGAGCCCCACAGCCACAACAAACAGGACCTGCTCAGACCAGGTTATAATACCACTATTCCATTCCATTCTACACCACCACTCATAAACGCTTCTTATTCACTAAATCATACACACACACATTAATTCACTATTACTGTTCTATGCATTGATGAAATCCTCTTTCTTTCAGAACTGTTCTTTCTCCTGCAAAAGTTCCTATCGGCCAGTCCGTTGCAGGAAACTTACAAGGTAAACACTTGATGTGCAATATTCATAAAATAAAATTCTAATTGCCTTTTTCTCTTCAGGCTTTGACCAAGGAGTTGGAAGAGCAAAAGATATTACCAAAGAGGATTGATTGGGAGGGCAAGCAACATGATAGGACTTTCAATGATTTGGTAAGCATTATTGGCAGCCCAATAGTTGCAATATATAATAATATAATTGTGATTTATTTGTAGGAACGTCTTTACCCTCATATTGGATCTAATCATTTGCTGGATATATGCGCCAGGATTGGAACGATCCTGGACAAGGAGATCCCCCCTACCGTGCCCGGAGTGCAATCGCTGCTCGGGTCCGGGAGACAATCCATCCTAAGAACCTCCAACTCCATCCTGCCAAAGCTCAATTTACGACATTACGCTACGAGAAAACATGGAATGCCCATTTCCGATCCATATCTGCCTCATACCCATCATAACATAAGTAATATTATATTAATCGATCTATCTGATCTGATCTAACATAATTGTATATTTTTGCAGCCAACGTATTGGTCGGCAGAGAAATGTCCGGCCAGATCTCTAGGTGCGTGGCGATGTCTCCCATGCGATATTCGCAGTTGCAGATTCATCGGAAGACGTTCGGACACTTGTCTCCGGTTTACTGTTTGCTCTTTGATTCGACAGGACGTTACGTTATAACGGTATGCGATCAAGCTAAAACTTCTGTAATTGATTGACGAATCTGTTGATTTGTTTAGGGTGCGGATGATATGCTGGTGAAGCTGTGGTGCGCGTACAGCGGGAAGCTGGTGCATTCGTTTCGGGGAGCGTTGTCAGAGATCTCGGATATATCTGTGAACGTGGAGAACACTCTGATGGCGGCTGGACTTATCAGCAAGGTGCTCAAGGTGTGGGATCTGCAGACGGGAGCTCCAGTCTGCGTGCTGACCGGCCACACGGGTACCATCACCTCCGTGAACTTTTGTCCATCCGGGACCTGGGGCACCAAGTATATTGCGACGACCAGCTACGACGGATCCGTGGGTTTCTTCACATACAGTCACGCCGTACGGGATAAACCGGTCTTTGCGTAAGCAGTCGACGTCGTACAATCTCATCAGAGCGACAATTTGTTAATTTTTTTTATTTCAGTTCCAAGCCTATATTTTACCAGGAGAAGATGAGGCCAGGACAGTCGCAGATGATTTGCGCCGCGTTCAGTCCGGGCGGATGCTTCCTCGCCGCCGGATCCGCCGATCACCACGTGCGCGTCTATGGGATGCGAAGCGACGAGGGCCCAACGCGAATCTTCGAGATGGAGGTTCACACGGATCGTGTGGACTCGATAGCTTGGGCTCATCGTGGTCTTCGATTCGTCTCCGGCAGTAAAGACGGCACGGCATTCATCTGGCGTTTCGAACAGCAGCAGTGGAAATACATTCAGCTCTGCATGACAACCAGGTTACCCAAGTACGTACAACAACTGTCGCAGAGCCAGCAGCAGAGATTGTTTTCACTTTTTGTTTCCGTTGTAGCACGATGGAAGTGTCGGAGGAGCCGAAAAAGTTATCTGTTACCATGGTGGCCTGGGAGGGATCCAATAATTTTGTGGTCACTGCAGTCGGCGATAACTGCCTGAAAGTATGGAAGTCGACAACGGGTGAACTGATGAGAGTGCTTACCGGACACAGCGAGGGCATCTTTGTGCTGGAACCACATCCGAAGGAACCTTACGTGCTGCTGTCCTGCGGTCACGACGGGCAGATATTCATATGGGATATACTGCGCGGCGCTCAGGTGGCCCACTTCCAGAACGAGTCGAGCGATCCAGCTGCAGGTGCCGGCGCCATCTACGATGCCAAATGGTCGAGCGACGGCACCATGTTCTCCGCCTGCGATTCGTTGGGCCACATACTCACCTACGGGTTCGGCAACGGGAGCGATCGAATGAAAATGGTTAGTCATCCGTTACATCTGACGAGTGATGTTTTTATTTTGATTGAGTGTTTACTTTAAGCTGCCCAGAGAGCTGTTCTTCCACACCGATTATCGTCCGCTCGTGATCGATCCCGATGCAGGTGTTTTAGATGAACAAACGCAGGTCGCTCCGCACTTGATGCCGCCTCCGTTCCTCGTCGACAAAGATGGAAATCCTTATCCGCCGAAGCTGCAGCGTTTGGTGCCGGGCAGGGAGCACTGCGCCAGCGAACAACTGGTGCCCAACATTGTTATAGGAACTGGCGGTAATTGATGACGATCCGTAGAAGATTGAGATATGATGTGATGTTTCAAATAATATAATAATTATAATATCGTTTGCAGGGAGGCAAGAAGTTATCCAGGGGATTGCGGACGCTCCCAGATCTGATATCGATAGAATGATCGCGGCGTTGGCTCAGAGGCAGAACAGGAACGAGGAGAACGAAGGCGAGGAAGCACTACCGCCCCGATCCATCAGGAACACTTTCAGAGGGACTGCAGATGCTGGCGAAGGCGTCAGAAGGAGCACCGGAGAGTGGCAGCAAGATCCGAATATGGTTTGGAACAAGAACTACATCGTGCCGCCGTTGAGAAAATCGGAGATACAGAAAGCAAGGCAATTCATGTAAGTAACTTCAATCGACGACAATCGATGTACAATATATAAATTTGAAACTTTTTGTTTCAGTGAAAATATAGCTGCATTGGAAACTGCCGAATACCAGAAGGAGATTAAACGTAGACCATTGATGATAAATACTGCGTCGACGTCGTCGCCCATCAAGAACATCAAGGATAAAAGAAAACGGAGGAACGGCATTCCCGCGCGACACACGAGAGCACACTCGAGCAACAACGAGGCAGAGCCCGAGCAGGTTAGGAGAGAAGAGATTCATTTCGTCTGAAATTCAGAAGAATGTATAGTCTTATTTTGATTTAATTGATTCCAGAATGTGGACATCGAACACGAAGAGTCTAATAATAGTAGCAGCAACAATAGTGACGATTCGAGTGCGAAGGATCTGAGTTTAAGCGATTCTAGTTCAGACTCTGAAGAGTCTTCGGGTTATTCCGATTGGGTGGCGGATCAGGGCGTGAACCTGGAGCCGCCGAAGAGATCCAAACGTAAATCGGCTCATCGTAAAATTGTGGACGGTGAGGACGACGCGGACGACGACGACGAGTTCGTAAATCATGCATCATCTAGTCATTCGAAGACGAAGGCTGTGCCTAAATTCCAAATGGGCGAAGTGCCGGACATCTACAAGCAGCTAGAGTGGCTGTCGGAGACGATACCAAGGAAGGCGCCGTACTGTCCGCAGATGGGAGACGAGGTCGTGTATTTTATCCAGGGCCATCGGATGTATATAAACGCGGTCAAAATGAAGAAAGTGTACAAGGTGTACAACAGGGATCTGCCGTGGACGAAGCACGATCTGAAGGATCACGAGTTCGTGAAGATTGTTGGCATCAAGTACGACATTCGACCTCCGCGACTGTGCTGCCTAAAGTTGGCCCTTCTCGACGACGAGCACAAGCTAACGGACAAGGTTTTCACCATCAGGTACCACGATATGGCGGACGTGCTCGATTTCTTCGTGCTCATCCAGACGTACGAGACGGCCATCTCAAGGACGTGGAGCGAAGGCGACAAGTATGTTGGATATGACGATCTCGTATCATATTTTAATATTAACGTAACGTGACGAACGTGTGTACAATCGATAGGTTTCGATGCATGATCGACGATGGATGGTGGGTCGGGAAGATCAGCTCCAAATCTTCGCTGTCCGATGAGTATCCCGATTCGTTATTCATGTGCTACGAGATACAGTGGGATAACGGGGAGGCGGAGAGGATGAGCCCGTGGGATCTGGAGCCAATCAGGGAGGATCGTTTGCCGGAGACGGTGGGCGAGGCGGTGCCAGTGCTGCCCGACGAAATACAGAGCATCCTGTATCAGCCGACGATGGAGGAGTGGCCGAGAGGAGATCGTAACACGACGTGCCGCAGGATCATCTCCGGATTGGACAAGATGATGGAACTGGCCATCGCCGAACCGTTCCTCGCTCCGGTCGACCTGAATCTGTATCCGTCTTACTCGTATCTGGTCGAGTATCCGGTGGACCTGTCCATGATCAAGGCTCGCTTCGAGAATCACTTTTACAGACGGATAGCCTCTGCCCAGTTCGACGTGCGATACCTCGCCTGCAACGCCGAAAAGTTCAACGTGCCGCACAGTAAGATCGTGAAGAACGCCAGGATCATCACCGATCTCTGCCTGAGAATCATCAAGTAATTATTCATTTTATCGCAATTTCATATTCATTTTTCACTTACACTTGCTTTTTTAGGAGTTCAACGGAGGACATCGACGTTCAGGCGATTTATCATCAGATGGTCGATACGTATGAGTCTTCGTGTAGCGAGGAGGATCCCGAGACTTTCGTGTCCCGCCCCGGTCCATCCAACGTGACCAATCAGCGACCGACGAGGGCGTTGACGACGAGAAACGCGGGAGTCGTCGATTGGCGCGTCGAAGCGAACAAACTGCTGAACAAAATGCTGCGCACCGAAGATTCCGTCCCCTTCCGTACACCAGTCGACCGCATCAAACATCCAGGTATTATAACCTGTACCTATTATATATAATGTACTAATTGTTGTCGAATCAGATTATTACCAGATGGTCGACACGCCGATGGATTTGGGAACGGTGCGCGAGGATCTCGTCGGCGGGAACTACGACACCCCGTTGGAATTTGCCAAAGACATGAGACTGATATTTCAAAATTCGAAGATATTTAATACTAACCAACGGTCGACGGTAAGTGCTTGATCGAAGATGATTGGATAGTAATTGTTTTGATATTTACTTTGCTGTTTGTTTTTAGATATATATGATGACGATGCAACTTTCGGCGCTCTTCGAGGCGAATATTAAGAATGTGATAAACGCGTGGAGGAGGACGACGCTGCGGAAGGGACGAACGTTGAGGAAGGGCAGCCGTCGGGTGGCTACGTCCTCGACGGCATCTGCTCTTGTCGAGGAGAGTGACAGCGACAACAGCGAGAAGGAGAACAAGGAGATGGCTGTGCAATCGAATAAACGCCGAACATTGAGGAACACTGTGAACAGCAACTCGAAAATGCCATTACCACCCGCATCCAGTGATGACGACGATGATGACGATTCGGACGTGGACGTGGAGAACGTCGCGACGCAGGGTAGTGGCGGCGGCGCTTGTAGTGGAAGTAGTGGTGGCAGTCAGAAGACGGCGAACGATGCGAGACGTCGCATCTCGAGTAGCGAGTCGAGCGACGCCGCCAGTCAGCTGGGCGCCGAATCTTCCTCGTCGGAGGCGGGAAGCGACTGCGAGCCACTGAGTAAGTACGCGAAATCTCAACGGAACAGACATCGGAAGCGACGCAAACTGACGAGCAGCAGTTCGGGCAACGACAGTGATGATAGTGACAGAAAAACGCTGCGACCTCGTAACTCTAAGCGTAGAAAAAAGTGCATCAACGACGACGACGACGACGACAGTTCGAACAGTAGTGATAGTAGTGACAATGTTCCGTTGGCGATGAACAGACGTTTGGCAAACAGCGCCAACAATGGCAGGAACAACCACAACCACAATTTGAACGACGACAATGAGGACGAGGACGACGACGACGATGATGATCGATCCGATTCGAGGGTCGTGACGACCGTCAGCAGTCGTGGCAGGGTGCGCAAGATGACGGAAAGGGCGCGTGTTTTCCTCGGCAAATCGTAATCCACGAATTTCGATTGAATCATTATTTAATTTATTTTTTGTCTTAAATGTACTTATCGCAGTTAATATTATAACATTTCATTTTTATTATTTCTTCCTTTCATCGTCGTCTCACTCCGCCGCCCATTTGTCGTCGTCGTCGTCTTCGTCATCGTCCTTTTTACTTCTTCTGTAATATGTGTCATCATCATATTAGTTTCTTTTTTACTTACTTATAAATTCTTCTTCTTTTACTGTTATCACACCGATCATTATTATAACTAGATTTGTACCTATTTATTGTTGTTGTACGATCTGCGCGAATTTTCTTTGTTGAAGAACTAAAATAAAATATATTTTCCATTTTGAACCAAACGGTCGATGCATAAAAGAAACGCGCACTTCTTCGTTACCATTCGCTCGTATTTGAGGTGGTTTCTATTTTCCTCTCTGTGATTGGTGCGCACAACATGAACACATTTATCCTCTGACCTCACGACTTCCATCTATCCCCCCACGACGCACACTCAAAACTTAATAATAATGACTTATCCGTACATTTAATATTAATTACAGTAATTATAACTTTAATAATTTCAGACCATCAATCGATTCCCAAGAAGACGAAAAGTTGCATATTGTATATGCAACCAAATTTACGTTTATTGGAGTTTCTTTAAAACAGAGATGGATTTTTATGATACGATTCATTGCATGCAAGTATTTATTAATCTTATTGTTGTATACATTAATTAAATGCTAATGTTTTTCGGGTCGTGGTGTTCTTGGCTCCATCCAAATAGTAATTGTTTACGATGAAGAAATTGTAGGTGTTGTTACCACCGTTCGGAGCGATCGGTGCGTTGGTGGTCATCGGTCGGCAGAGTTCGCCTGCCAAGGGCAGATTCCAGGAGCCGTCCCTGCATATCCTGTCGACGGTAACGTTGGGCGTGGTCGGCTGATAAAGTGGGCGGCACCTAATGGTGGCTCGTGTACCTTCGTAAGGTTTCGAGCATGAGGCAATTCCACCGTTCGACGAGCATTGCACCAACATCGTGTCGTCGGATTCGACGGACGAGCATGTCACTGAAACGTAATGCCGTAAGTTATAAATAAAGAAGATTATCGTGACTGTTAGAAAGACTGACGTGTGCACTTTGCGGTCGCGCTCCACTCGCCGTTCCTGCACAGGGCGAATGTGTTGTTTTGGGGCTGCAGCTTGTATCGAGCGTTACAGGAGAACCAGAGAATCGTGTTTTCGTTCGCGTGCGTCTCAGAAATCCGCTCTTCGTTGTAGATTCTCCAGCGACCATTGGAAGGTTGCCGGGGCAAAGCGCAGCCGTACCTAAATACGAAAAGTTTCAATTACTAGTTTAATTTAATGATATTTTACTTACTTTGGAGCTGGTTTTTCTGTATACGCTTTGCAGTCCAGTTCATCCGATCCGTCCCGACAATTGTTTTCTCCGTTGCAGCGCAACTGTCTGCTGATGCAGGCGCCGTACGAACATCGAAATGTGTAATTGGGACACCTCAGGGTACTGCAGACGTCGGCCGTCTCATCGGAGCCATCGATGCAATTTGGAATGCCATCGCATTCGTTCAATTGATCGATGCATTGGCCAGATTTACATAAGAATCGTTCGTTTCTGCAATAATCCGTTCATTCAGGTGAATCCTTGAACTTTTCTAATCGTCTGCTTACCCGCAAAATCCAGTCTGCCTTCTCTCCCTGCCGACGAAAATGTTCGCAGCGAAAGCATCTGCAATACAGAAATAATTACGTCAAATAATTTAAATAACTTCTGCTTGTTTTACCTGACGCCAAAAGAAAGAATATAGTCTTTAAAAGCATTTTGGTTTGAGAATGAATGTTGTGCGCATAAAAACCGACGATGACTAGATCGTGTTCGCAGATCGTGCTAACATCATCATCTTAATTCTGGACTATTTTTTTTGTTTTCTTTGTTTGTTTACAGAACGACCGGTTCGTAGATTCGCTCTGCACGATTTAATGCTTTCACTCGTAACTAACTAAAGATTCGCGCATCGATACGCCAGCCAGACAAGACACATGGTTGAGAGTTGCGTAATTTTAATTCAATTCGCTTAGCAGTTATGTGTTCTTCAAAAAAAAAAACTCTTTCATCACTATTAATAGTGTTCAGTTCAGTATTCCCGATCTCTAACATACGTTTGATCTTTAGAAGGTCACTTGCAATAAAAAATAATATAAATATATTTCGATGGCATCATTGCTATTTCTCGGTACTCGCCTCATATAAAATACGCGCAGATTAAGTTACGATAATGTTACGAAAAAGCATAGTTGTAATTGTAAATTTATGATATGTGTATTTCTGTATAAAATAGTTACTTTATTTTTTATACAATATTATTTATTTGTATTATTATTATTATTGTTTCATTTTCAGCCTTTATCTGTTGTAGTTGCAATTGGAGTCGTTGAGCAAGTTGAGTTAGTTTCTTCTCAGACTCGGTACTGGGCGAGGGTATGAAGAAGATTGTCCTTGTGGAATCGCAGCGACGTGAAGAGGGTGTTCTGGGTGTAGTCACATCCTCCGTACTTCTTGGGAGCAACGCTGACCACGCCTCTCAGAAAGAATCGCTCCTCCCTTCCACGGAAGATCAGCCCACCGCCGCTGTCACCTTGACACGCGCTCTGACCTGTGTAATCATAGTGAATAAAAAGAAGGTGCGTATTGTTAATATTGTTAAATTTCAGGTATCTATATAAGTTTCTTCACCTGAGCTTGTGTCTTGACCGGCGCAGAGTTTGTCCAAGGCGTAAGGTAGATAATAGGTGTAAAAATCGGTGGGAAGTTTGCACTGTTGCTTCGATTTGTACTTGATCTCCAGTTCCTTGAGGACGTTCGATGGTTCGCTCGAGGCCTCCGTGTAACCCCAGCCGATCACCTGAAAATATACACATTAATTAGATTTTTTTAGAGAATGAAACGGTTATTGTTTGTTGACGTACCAGCCCCGTCTGTCCGGTCAGCGAGAGGTCATCCGTGTTCTGCCTGTCGATACACACCGGAAGAACGAATTTGTTGAGCTTGAACGGTGTCTTGAGGATGATGTACGCAATGTCGAAGGCGAGAAACGGCTGCCCTCCGTTGTAATCCGAATGAACGAGCAGTTTTTGAATCTGCAAGTAAACATAACAAAGAGACAGACATAGAGAGATGTGATCATCAATTGCGATGCGCTAATTACGTCAGAGAATTGTGCGTCGACGTCGTTGGGGTCCTTGTAGCTCCTGTAATACTTCCCTGCGGACACCGTGTACATATCCTCGTTGACCACGTCGAAGCAATGGGCGGCTGCAAAACGGAAATCAACCAATCAGCGGCAGCAACAATCGACTAGAGGAGGGTAAGGTAAGCAAGCACCTCCCCCCACTTTTAATCGTCTTTTCCTCTTACTCACCGGTCACCACGACCTTCATCGAAACCAACGATCCGCCACAGACGTTCTCCTTGTCGAACGTTCTGAAAATGCCGACGTGCCAGGGGTAATCCCCTTTGGTCGCGTTCTTGCCACCTATCACTAATTGGGTCGCCTCTACAGACTTCAAACCGCACACTGAAAATCAAGTAAGACACAAGTACACGAATCAAATACGAAACACGACCACATGCAGTACAGACGGAGAAAAAATACAATTTATTAATATTATTGTTGTTTACATTCTACAAATCGTCTAAACACATACACACACACACAACTAAAGACATTACAACAGAGTGAGATCTAAACAGTAAACAACTAAATTAGATTCATTTTAGGATTTGGGGTTTGAACGCAGGTCAGAAGTGAACATACCGTTCTATAAATTCGGATTTGCAAGTATCTCTTATAAATTAATATCTTAATAGTAAAATCGCGTTATTGTTCGTTTCAACGATTTCGTTCGGTTAAAGCGTATTACTGGTAGTAGTGGTTCATAAATTCGGATTTTGATTAAGTGAGTAAGTTGTTTTTCTTTTTATATTGGGGGAAAGGAAAAATCGTAATTGGTATTATTGTTAGTGCTATTGTTGTTGTTGTTGTTGTTAGAGACAAGGTAGTAATTGTTTATAATGTAAATGTTATAGGTGTTATTGTGTAATGCGGTGGTATTCTTCTGACCTGGTTGACAATTGACACCGGTAATGGAGTAGTCCCAGGTGCCTTGGATACAGAAGCGATACGGATTCTCCAGGAGACGGGAGTCCTCGTACAGCGGACGACACTTGATCTCTGCTTTGGTGCCCTCGTACGGATTGTCGCAGGACGTTTTGCTTCCGTCCAGTCTGCATTCGACGGTCATCGCATCGTTCGGTGTGATCGAAGAGCAAGTACCTGCAAAGCATATACAATGGTGGAAGTGTTAAGAAAGAGATGGTAATTAAGGCTGACTCTTGCATGTCGGAATGCTCGTCCAGGCGGTGTTCAAGCAGATCGAGAAGCCTCCGTTCTCCGGCATCAGCTTGTAATTCTTGTCGCAGCTGAAGATGATGATGGTGTTCGCCGTAACCGGTGTACCAATAGGCAATGGGGACAGACCAACCGGGAACGACCATCTACCGTTATCCGGGTTCTGGGGCAGCACGCATCCCCCGCTGCGATTTGAAACAATAAGAAAATCGGAGGTGAGTGAGATTTCATAATGAGAATGGTTAAAAGTGTGAGAGTTTACGGATAGCCGACTGATGATGGTGGAGGCGTCGGAGTGGGCGTGGGTTTGCTGGTTGGTTTCTGCGTCGGTCTGGGCGTCTGTTGGCTACCACCACCCGACTCACATCCGATCTCGTCCGAATTGTCGCGACAGTTCTTCTTGCCGTTGCATCGGAGATTCTCGTTGATGCACGCCCCGTAATCGCACCGGAAAGTGAACGGCTGACATCTCAGATTGCCGCACGTCTCCTGCGTTTCGTCGGATCCGTCCGAGCAGTTCTCGGTCCCGTCGCACTGGTCCAAATCGTCGATGCATTGACCCGACTTGCATTGGAACTGATCCGAACTGCAAATCAATTATCATTAATAATCGTATGAAATCAATTTAGATTGCGATTAATTACGAGCATTTTCCACCGGTCGACGATGGTTTACCCTCTCGCTTGCAGCGGGCCGTGTTCTCATCGGAGCCGTCCCTGCAGTCCTCTTTGCCGTTGCACTCGAAGTCGGAATTTATGCAAGCACCGTACGCGCATCGGAACAGGAACGATTGACACCTTAAAGAAAGAGATATGATAACAACACTAGTGAGATTATTGTAAGGAGGGTGTTTTTCGTACGGTATCGTCGCGCAGGCCGAAGTCTCATCTGATCCATCTCTGCAATCGACCTTTCCGTCGCACAGGGAATCCTCGCTGATGCATTCGCCAGATCCGCACTGGTTATTTCCATTCCTGCAATCATTATTATCAAATATGCAACAAATACAGATTAAGGAACGAACTTAAATACTCTATTTTTTTAGCAAGAAAGGAACTTAATTTTGAGAGACATGAATACGAATTAAATAAACCTGAAATGCAAACTGGATTTGGCACTGGAAAAATCTAGTCTTGTCTTGGCGACTCAGGTAAACAACCCCAATCAGGGACGATGATAATGATAAATATATACTGAACGAGAGAAAAGTAAAGCTTGCTTGCTTGCTTGTTGATGCGTGTATTTTTTTTTATTATCTATATCGTTCGGTAATCGCTTCATTGACCTTTCCTCCCTTGATCTGTGTTGCATGTTTTAACTCACCCGCAACTGAGGCCCTGTCTTCGGAATCGACCTGCGTTCGTGGTGGTATTCCCCAAGAAGTCGCGAGTCTCTAATGTAGCTGGATAAACTGTGCCTGAAAGCGAAAAACCAGTTAACGCAATAATCCATGAATCGCCTGTGTATTTTTATATATTTATATTTTTCCCGTTATGTTGACCTTCGTATCTCGTCGATGAATTTTTAGATTTGGAAATCGCGTGCTGCGTACAACATTGCACTTGAAAGTGCCGCAGCGAATCGATGAAGAAAGAAACGTCGTTTCGTTTGCTTTGTTCGCAAATTGTTAATTGTTATATATGTACTTACTTGCCGCAAATACAAGACACACCATCAGCTTGAACCACACCATTTCTCTGTTTCCTTCTCCGAAAAACAACCGATGTTTAATAACAACAACCAATACAATCAACTTTGATCGTTAACGGCGCATGGTTTGTCGCGGCCGCCGCTTCTGATTCTGTTCTTAATAATAATTTGTTTTGTTTGATTCTGTAGAACGCGGAATGATGCTGTGCTGTGTACTGAGTAGCGGCGGACTGACGACGACGATGATGATGATGAGACTGTTTGAGCGAGCAGGACAGGACGATGATTTTTAGTGGAATTCCCAAAGTCTACACGATGCGAAGACAATGCCTTCTCCTCCTCCTCCACTCTACAACATTACGACGATCGCGATTTTCGTCAATTGCGCTGAGTACGTCCTATTTTTTTTTTTGTATTATTCACCTACATACATTATCAATCAATGTTGCAACAGAAGCAACAACGAAGCAACAATCACGTTTAAATGTCCATCGATTCGTTTCGTTTGCGGTAAAAAGTTCATTATCGTCGGGAAAATAAGTTTAAAGTACTTTCCAATCAATAACGTAACAACGAAGCGTGCTTTGAAAACAGTTGATAAACGATCTGAAATCCCCAATTGAAGTAACAAAGAACGATTAACTGCTGCCAAAAGATTAATACATAAACGGAATAACGGTATTTATTTTGGTTGGTAAACAATTAGTAGATCTAAAACAGGAATTTACATAAAAAAAATCGTAGACATTCCATAACAACAACAAAAAACAATGGATTTCATAATGATGCGCTGACTTGATTATATTTTAATTAAACCAGTTTTCAACGTATTAATGATTATTGGGGGAAAGAAAATATAGAAGTTATTAATTTCATCGTTATTATCATTTTAATGATACGTTAATTTAACGCAATGTTTACAGATTATATTATTGAAAATTTGAAGTTTTCGAATTTGCTTGTTGCTGACCGTTCTCAATAAATTTTGAATTGTGATTGTAGGACGCACGCGTCTGCTTAACTTTGCTAAAGGGCGGAACGTTCGATTGATGGAAAGTTTGAGATGAATGAAAAAAATTAAAAAAAAAAAAATGGGGTGGCGATTGATTTTCGGTGGAGACAGAGAGATGAGTTGTACAGAGTTGCCGGTTCGTGTTGGGGGGCGGCCGAAAATTGATGGATTGATGTTAATGATGAGGATAGGGATGTTGAATTGCTTTGATTATGATGTTGATGATGATGATCAAAAAGAGAAGAAAGTTTTTTGTTTGTTCGTGTTCTTTTTCTACTAGTTGTATGGGTGTGTGTGTTTGTATGTTTTTGGGGAGGATGTAGGGGATTGGCGAGATGAAAATCAATATGATCGTCGACGCACACGCTCACGTCGCTCCTCATTCGACGTGTCGGCGGAGAGGAGACAAGATGTAGTTTGATCTAGGGAGGCGGAGGAGACATTTTTTGATTAGTTTAAGGATGCTTCAGTAGTGGCATAGTAGTTTCATCGTCTTGAAGAGAAAGAAAAGGGAAGAGATGATTGTTTGGTGGTGATGCTGTTATCGAAAAGGAACGAAGAGGACGTCGCGGTGGAGGAATCACTAGTGTATGAATGATATGTGAATTAAGTAGTGTGTGCTGTAGATGAGGAAGGTTTTCGGTGGAGCAGGAGGAGGTGGAGGAAGGAGGACGAAAATGATAAACGCAAATCAGAATGTGCTTTTTCTAGCGACGATCCTGGCCCTGTGCGTGATATCGTTCGTGCACGTCTTCCTCTTTCCGCTGTACGATGTCGACCAGTCGAAGAAGTCGCCGACGAAGAACTTTTACGATTTCGAGCAATCTCAGCTCTGTCTGAACAGCGTGAACAATGTGAAGCACAGGAGGACGTCTTCGTGGAAACGTTTGAGGTGTCCCCGGTACGGCATAGTGACGATAATGCAGGGCGGAAGATTGGGCAATCAGATGTGGGAGTACGCGTCGGTGTGGGCGCTGGCGAGGAGGACGGGACTGGAGCCGTACGTCCCCCGTTGCATACATGTGAAACTCGAGCAGATCTTCGAGCAACTGTCCGTGCCGAATTACGAGGAGATCGGCGATTGTCCCATAGATTTGGCGCGATTCGTTCGATCCGTCGACGCGTGGAACTACACGAACCAGAGCATCGTGTTGCCGCGCTACTCGACGCACCCGGACGTCGTCCTCACCTGGGTGCAGGACATCATACAGGAGTTTACGTTCAAGCGTCGCTTCCAGGTGAAGAGTCAGAACGTACTGCGATTGGCGGCCGCAACTTCGTATACGAAAAAACCGAAAGCGTCCTCGTCGGGGACGACGGACCTCGTCTACGTCGGGATTCACGTGCGACGCACCGACTACATCGGATACCTGTGGCGTAAACACGCCGCACGTCCCGCGTCGCCGGCCTTCTTCCACACGGCGATGGACATCTTCGAGGGCAGATACGAACGCGTCCTCTTCGTCGTCGTCAGCGACGATCCGGCCTGGTGCCACGACAATCTGAACATGCGACCGAACGTGTTCGTGAGCAGCAGGACGATTCCGAACGCTCCCGCTCTCGATTTGGCCATTCTCGCCTCCTGCAATCATTCCATCTTCGATTACGGCACCTTCGGCATCTGGGGCGCAATCCTCGCCGGTGGCGACACCATCTACTTCAACCTCACCAAACATTCTTCGGCTCGAGTAGGACGGCTCCTCAGCAACTGGACGCCGCTCAACTAAATTCAAATCCAATACAAGAACAACAACAACAACAAAAATGGTAAGAAAAGCATTTCTACAATTCATCAAACCGTAAAGTAAGATTACATTTTGGAAATTTCCATCTTTTCAATTTCCAAGAATAATCTGATTACAACTTTGTTATTGATTTCTAACTAAATACATAAATGGAAACGTACCAAGAGTACGTAAACAATTGATTTATCAAATGTAATTATATGTTTTCTGTTTTTTTTTTTAGCAAATCAACGATATTTGCGAAGATCAGCAAAACTTTGGATGGATGGATACGACGTACTGCACGAATTCGAGAGTAGTAAACATACACCAATAGACTTGTAGACTTGAGTTTGGTTCTCCGAAAGTTTTCCCAGAATAGTTTGATCGAAATTCAAGTTGCCAAGGCTAAGAAAAGAACTTTTTCTTCGGTTGAAAAGCAAAAGGGAGAGAGAGAGAGAAAGAAACCCTATTTTTTTAACGATCGTTATTCAAAATTATTTCTAAATCTATGTACATGTAAATGAAAGAAAGAAAGAAAGAATGAAAAAAATGAGATTCTATATGTATATTATAACAAGTAATACTTAAACAAAGAAGAATTATATTGTGTATAGAGGATGAGAGGATGGAAGAATCGAATCAAATCAAATCTAGCGAATGAACCAAGAAAAAAAAAATAATATATATAAATGTATTTACAAAAACGTATTTTGAACACGATGCGAGATATTTTTGATTAATTGTACTTATTCTATTTATAAATGAACATTATGATGATAGCAAATTAAAAAAAAAGAAAAGAAAATCAGATGTGGAAAATGATGCCACTAGATTTTTCTTTTCCTTTTTTCTTCAGTTCAAAAAACGCACACAACCAAATTTCCATTTACAAGATATGTAAATTATAATTATATATTAAAAGAAATCACGCACTCGATTCGTATCAACAGTTAGTGATTATCTTGTGGAGGAGGAGGCTTTAGTGCAATTCTTCGTTTCTACGTAGATAAAATGAGAATAAGAAACTGTGATCTGTCTCTTTCCGTATTTTTCCCCATCTGTGTATATCTTATCTCACTCACATTACTTGACGACGTTTCCATTTTGTTATTAATTTACTTAGTTACGACGTGCCAAAAACAAAGAAGTAAAAACAAAACACAAACAAACAAACAAGGATTACCCAATTCAAACAAACAACAAAAAATACACATTTGTGACCTGAACAGTATTAAATAAATATATATATATGTATGTAAAGAAATAAAATAATAAATAAATTAGACGATGAAATTTACAAAATTTTAAAGAAATTTAACGATAATGAAAGATGTTTAGATGTTCAAGTTTAGGCGAATATCTTTTGTAACGATTGAACGAAACAAAAACTATAATAAATATATATATGTAAAGGGGGAATTAAATGTTTCTGTGATACACACTTATATATTGCATACTATGTATTATCGATAAGCGTAAAAGAAAAACAAAAGAAGAAAAAAAATATATTGAATACAATCAAGCAGTTTCGGATAAAACAAGAGAATGAATATTGATGATGATGTGACGAACGGCGATTTTAGTTTCAACTGTTTTTTTTTTTGCAAATCTTCTGTGCTTCTGTTGCTTTTCCCCCATAAAAGTTTGTTTTATAATTGTTCTGTTTCCTTCATGTAAAATAATAAAATTAGTCTAGCCACACACGAAGGCGTTTGCAACTATATTCTTTTGTTTTTATTATCATTATCATGAGCGTATAAGATTCCATAAATTGTTATATTTACGACCCTTAGTTTCTTTTTCTGTATTCTAACTCAAGAACTAGAATCATCTGAGTGTTATTATCTTATCCAAAGGCGACAAAATCGTTCCACGAATGTTCCCGTGTGACACAACAATATTGTGCACTATTATTACAATAGTTGTATTAATTGTTATTTTATTTTAATTTCAACTTTTCTTGGTAAATAATTTGAATTTATTTTCTAAAGTATAGAGCGTAAACATAGATGTCGCTCTTTCGCTTCTTTAGTAATGGTGGTAGTTGTTGCTGCTGCTGCTACGGTGCATAAGCAATTGCATAATTTGATTGCGATTTGTTTTACGAGGTTGGCAGCGTTAATTAAGTGTGCGAGCGTAGAACAAGAAGAAGAAGAGTATGTAGAACGGTGCTGGGGGTGCGTTTTTGGGGGAATTACCTTCTGCAAGTTTTTGGTGTAGAATGTGACACATCGCGGATGGGCCAATCGGGGGGGTCGTGACAAAGAGAACGGCCAATGGTGATGGTCGTTAGAAAGGACGATCGCAGCGCACACAGTTTTGTCATTATTTATTATTATTATTATTGTTTTTATTTTTTCTTTCTGTTGTTTTCGCATGTATTATCCTGCGTGTGCTGGAGGTGGTGTGTTGTGACGTGAGATAGAAAGAGAGAGAGAGAGGACGTCGATCTTCAACTTTTTCAGAAGAGCTGCGGTGGTAATATATAATCGCGACAACAGCAGCGGATTGTTGTGAAACGATGAGTACCATTTTGTAATGGGAATCCAATTAGGTTTCGGGTGGACGTGACTTTCTCTAATGGAGCAACAGTAGGAAGAGGTTCACTGCTGCTGTTGTTGTGGTGGTGGATTGTGTGTGTGTAGTGGTAGTATGGCCAACAGGAGGGCACTTCTGACTGCCTCCATGGAGCCCCTGCCTAGCTCGAGTGATCCGCTTAGAGATCTGTTCGAGGCCTGCAAAACTGGAGACATCGCCAGGGTGAGGAAGCTGATCACACCGCAGACAGTCAATGCCAGGGACACAGCTGGTAGGAAATCAACCCCATTGCATTTTGCAGCAGGTGAATGATAAATTAATAAACTGTTTGTATCAATGTTGTAATACGATTTTCGTTGCAGGATATGGGAGAAAGGATGTAGTTGAATTTCTGCTATCGACTGGGGCTTCCATACAGGCCAGAGATGATGGGGGATTGCATCCGTTGCACAACGCCTGCTCTTTTGGACATGCGGACGTGGTGCGTCTGCTTCTGGAAGCCGGAGCAAACCCAAACACTAGGGACAACTGGAATTACACGCCGCTGCACGAGGCTGCGATCAAAGGGAAGATCGACGTTTGCATTGCTCTGCTGCAGCACGGGGCAGATGTGAACGTCCGCAACACCGAGGGAAAGACCGCTCTGGAATTGGCCGATTCGTCGACGCAACCCGTACTGACAGGGGAGTATCACAAGGATGAGCTGCTGGAGGCCGCACGATCCGGAGCAGAGGATAGACTGCTGGGGTTGCTCACACCGTTGAACGTTAATTGTCATGCGAGCGATGGAAGGAGATCGACCCCGTTGCATTTGGCCGCCGGATACAATAGGAATCGGGTCGTTCAAATCTTGCTGCAGAACGGGGCGGACGTCCATGCGAAAGACAAAGGGTTCGTAGAGCTGGTTTTTTGCTTAATATTTAGGAATCTATAATAATTGTTATTGCAGGGGATTGGTCCCGCTGCACAATGCTTGTTCTTACGGTCACTTCGAGGTGACCGAAATGCTGATTAAGCATGGAGCCAATGTGAACGCAAACGACTTGTGGGCCTTTACACCACTTCACGAAGCCGCCTCCAAATCTCGCGTGGAGGTGTGCTCTTTACTGTTAAGCGAGGGGGCTGACCCCACCCAACTGAACTGCCATTCAAAGTCTGCAATAGATGTGGCCCCGACCAGGGAGCTGCAAGAGCGCCTAGCTTGTAAGTCTCGAATATTCTGAAGACCAAATATCAATGTTTTTTATTTTGTTTGTTTTCCAGATGAATATAAAGGTCACTGCCTTCTGGAAGCCGCCCGACACTCGGACACGGCAAAGATAAAAAAGTACTTGGGACAACAGGACGTGATGAACTTCAAGCATCCGTACACCGGAGATACGGCACTACACGTGTGCATAACGTCGATGTATCCGAAGAAGAAGCAGCTAATGGAGCTGTTGATTCGGAAGGGAGTCGGTCTAAATGAGAAGAACAAAGAGTTCCTGACTGCGCTGCACGTCGCTGCTGACCATTCCCATTACGATCTCATGGACTACCTGCTGCGACACGGTGCCAAGGTGAACGCTCTGGACGGCCTCGGACAGACGGCGTTGCATAGGTGCGCTCGCGACGATAACGTGCAGGCTTGTCGTATTCTGATGTCGTACAGCGTCGACCCGACCATCGTCAGCCTGCAGGGATACACGGCCGCCCAGGTGGCTTCCGAGAACGTGCTGAAGATCCTGCAGGATCCGCCGACGGGAAGCGCGGACGTCGAATGCCAGCTGCTCGACGCCGCAAAGTCTGGAGACCTGGAGCAGGTGCAGCGGCTGCTCGGTTCGTTCCCGCACATCGTCAATTGTCGCGATCTCGATGGGAGACATTCCACGCCGCTGCACTTTGCTTCCGGATACAACAGGGTCTCTGTTGTCGAATACCTTCTGCAATTGGGTGCGGACGTTCACGCGAAGGACAAGGGCGGTCTGGTTCCGTTGCACAACGCTTGTTCGTACGGACACTACGAAGTCACCGAGCTGCTCGTCAAGCACGGGGCGAGCGTCAACGTCGCCGATCTGTGGAAGTTCACGCCTTTGCACGAGGCCGCTGCCAAAGGGAAATACGAAATCGTTAAACTTTTATTGAAGCACGGAGCAGATCCTGGGAAGAAGAATCGCGATGGAGCGACTCCGTTGGATCTGGTCAGAGATGGGGATCAGGACGTCGCGGATATGTTGCGTGGGAACGCGGCACTTTTGGATGCAGCCAAGAAGGGAAATCTGTTGCGTGTGCAGAGATTGGTGACGGCGGATAACATCAATTGCAGGGACGCGCAGGGTCGCAATTCGACACCGCTTCATCTGGCCGCCGGCTACAATAACGTGGAAGTTGCCGAGTTCCTGCTGGATCACGGGGCCGACGTCAATGCGCAGGATAAGGGCGGTCTGATTCCGTTGCACAACGCCTCCAGTTACGGCCATCTGGACATCGCCGCTCTCCTCATCAAATTCAACACCGTGGTGAACGCCACCGATAAATGGGGATTCACGCCGCTGCACGAGGCCGCCCAGAAGGGACGCACTCAATTGTGCGCCCTTCTGCTCGCTCACGGTGCAGATCCGTATCTGAAGAACCAGGAGGGACAGGCGCCCGTGGATTTGGCGTCAGCTGAGGACGTGAGATGCCTGCTGCAGGATGCGATGGCGTCGCAGCAAGGCGTCCCGACGGCGCTCGGACCGATCAGCACTCCGGCTGCAATGCCGACTCCACCGTTGAACACGACGGAAACGGTGGTTATGCCGTCTGGGGCTTCGATGATACTCTCAGTGCCAGTCGCCTCGTCCAGAGGAAGCATGGCGATGTCCGTTGCGGAGGGTTGCTGTTCTTCGCCGATGAAGATCGACGGTGGATCGGAGGGATCTTCCGCAGTTGGTGCTGGCGGTGGAATAGTCAACATCGGTTCATTCTTGGCCAGCCTCAGCTTGGAGCATCTGCTCGATCTATTTGAGCGAGAGCAGATCACGCTCGACATCCTTGCGGAGATGGGGCACGAGGACCTTAAGCAGATCGGCATCACCGCGTACGGATTCCGGCATAAACTCATCAAGGGCATGGAGCGATTGGTGAGCAGCTGCGGCGGAATGTGGACGACACCCTCGAATCCGGGCACGCTGCTCGTCGATCTTCTCATCGACGACAAAGAATTTGTGGCCGTCGAGGAGGAGATGCAGAACAGCATCAGGGAGCACAGAGACAACGGACACGCCGGAGGCATATTCTCTCGCTACAACATCGTCAGGGTACACATCTGCTACACTTTTAATTGAAGAATGATTTCATTTTTTTGGATCTTTTTATTTGCAGATACAAAAAGTACAAAATAGGAAGCTGTGGGAACGATACACGCATAGGAGACAAGAGGTGGCCGAAGAGAACACCAATCAGAGCAACGAGAGGATGCTTTTCCATGGATCACCGTTCATCAACGCGATCGTCCAGAAGGGTTTCGATGAGAGGCACGCTTACATCGGCGGAATGTTCGGTGCGGGCATCTACTTTGCCGAGCACTCCTCCAAGAGCAACCAATACGTGTACGGCATCGGTGGAGGCACCGGTTGCCCCCTTCACAAGGACAGATCTTGTTACCTCTGCCACAGGTACAATCATAATATAATAATCATCGATTAATAATATTAATAATTTACAAATTATTCTTCAGACATCTGCTGCTGTGCCGCGTGACGCTCGGCAAATCGTTCCTGCAGTTCAGCGCGATGAAGATGGCTCACGCACCGCCCGGCCATCATTCCGTTGCCGGACGTCCGTCCGCCGGCGGTCTCAACTTCCCCGAGTACGTGGTGTACAGAGGGGAGCAGGCGTATCCCGAGTACTTCATTACCTATCAGATCGTGAAGCCCGAGGATTGCGCGAGCAGCACCGACTCGGACGTCAGATGATTCGGCCGGGAGCACCAGGAGGCCACCGCGAGCACTGCTCCCTGGTGCGGCGTCCTCTGCGTCGTCTTCCGATGTCTCGCCCCGGCCAGATCTACCTGCACGTGCAACCAGAAGAAGCGTCTCAAGTTTGTAGCGTAACAAAAAAAAAACCGTCTCTACATATAGAGTGAACAAGTGCGTGAGATTATTTGACAAGTTGATTGACGATCGATTATTAATATTGATGATGACTGTACTATGTAGTAAATAGGAAGATATTCCCGACGACGATGTTAGATGGATCTGCGTTATTCTCTTCTCGTCTTCTCTCTTTATTTTTTTCATCACTTCGTATAGTGATTTACTAAATATGTGATATCTGTTGTGTAAAAAGATAGAAAGAAACAAAAAAAAAACAAAACAAAAATATGATTATAATAATAATTATTATTATTATATGACGCATCGAATGTATTCTTCTATGCGTGTCGTGCACTTAATTATATATATATGTATTCATTACTTAACGACTATCGATAAAAATCTCGGTGTGCGGTTGTTCTATATTATGTTTCACATCCCTTTATTATCTCACACTTATTCATTCATTCGTATATATTTATATCTGTCTATTTTTTTAAATAGTAATATTTATATATATATATATTTTATGTATAACACGAA